AGAAAAGGAGAGGGGTAGATGCTGACAGTGTTTTCTTTCACCAGGGACTCTGCTGAATGCATTATTGCTGTGAGACACACACACACACAAAGACACACAAAAACAATGCACGCTGCCGCCATAGTACAGTAAATGGTCTGGTTCTTTACCAAGCCAGTGCTCGCAATTCATATTAGGTTTGCAGTGATTCGTTTTCTTTTTCAGATTCTTTTCAGAGGTCTTATCTAACAAAGGCAAAATGCTGCAGAGCGTCTGTTTGTGAGTCTCACAAACTCCATCTCATGCCAGCACTTCACTGTAGAATGCTTAATAGCGGCTAGCGCAGTGTACACAGTGTTCAAAACTGGAATAAGTAGAGACCTGTCTGAGAGCAGAGCAAAACCAGCCTCAAAGCGGACTTTCCCTCTATGAAACCAGGCTTCAAAGTAGACAGGCCATGTGCGGTGCAGGCTCTGCAGTTCCTGAAATATAAATTTCATCGCCTATGGAATCTGTATACCATTTCTTATATTATACACTTCTTTAGAGTTAAAAATCTTCTGCAGTAATGTTTATTCTTAAGCAGCCTTTCAATATTTACAAATGTTTATCGATACACCTCCAACTGCTTTTTATCATAATTTAAATATACAAAACAACAACAATTATTATTATTATTATTAAAACATACTGTATGTTAAATAAATATTATACATATTTGCATGTTATTTTATTTTATTATAATTGTAATATTATTATACTGTGTATATAAATAAATAATGTACACTATATGCATAATATTTATTTAATATTAATACGAATAATGTAAATTATATATTATACTTAGCTTCCTATATGCATGTGTAATAATAATACTATTAAATAAAATATATTTATTTATTATCTGTCATAATTGCTTCTAATTTTAAAAAGGTTATTTTATTTACATTTGTATTATTGTTATAAATATGAATAATAATATTTATTATATAAATATGTATAAATATTTTTAATGAAATAAGATATAATAAAATCATTTTGTAAAGTTATATTGCAGCCCTATAAGGATTACAAGGAGAGCAATATATTGCAAATAACACATTTTTAACATGGCTTTTATTCTGATTAAAATTAAATTATAATCCTCACTCATTAGTGCAAAGCACCCAACTATGATGTCATTAGTGATCAGTGCTCAGTGACCCGAGGTTAAGCTCAGATACTAATCAATACTGAGAACATACAGTATATCATCACTTTTTACTGCCCATAAATTATTCAAGTAACTCTTAAGGTCATATGCGCTTCTGGGCAGTGGCACAGTAGACCAAACATAAATTAAATATCTGGAACATAAATTCACAGATCAGGGTTTAATTTAAACGGACATAAGTTAAACGAGGTCATGACCACCAACTCAGAAATGTGTTGTTAAATTTGATCTGTAGAGTCTGAGGCCTCGCCCTCAGCAAATGAACTTCCCTTACCTTCAAATCGCTCAACATCTTTCTTCATATTGTTCAATGGCAGACAGGTCATGTTCATGGTCAGTCCACTTTTCTTGTTGCAGACAGTTCCTACAAAGCAAAAAAATATATATTACAGAATGTATCTGCAAGTTTACCAATGATTGAAAATGTCGTAATTATCTTCCCTGTTGTCTTGGATCTTCTACTGAGAGCTTGAAAAGTCTGAAAGCGTGTAAATTAAACAAAATGGCATAAATCAAGTGATCATATCACATCAATAAACTAAACACAAGTGTTCCATTCAACTAGTGAACCGTATAGGCACATTCATTTAAAACTATCAGAAAAGAGCACAAAACACCTTTTCTTTTTTACTGTTCAAGTGGTCTACAAGAACTGCTGAATGAAGCAAACATACACAAAGTCACTTATGCTCACCAGAGCTACATTTACTTGCTAAAAAATACAGAAGAAATAGTAATATTGTGATAGATTACAGTTTAAAATAACAGTTTTCTATTTTAATATATTTTGAAATGTTATTTTTTTCCTGATAGCAAAGTTACTTCAGTCTTAAGTGTCACATGATCCATCAGAAATCATTCTAATATGATGATTTGCTGCTCAAGAAACATTTCTTATTATTATCAATGTTGAAAACAGGATTCTTTTGATGAATACAACTTCAAAAGAACTGCATTTGAAATAGAAATGTAACATTAAAACATTAGACATGTCTTTACTGTCACTTCTGATCAATTTAATGCACCCTTACTAAATTAAATTAAAAAACGATACACTTTACTTTAAAAAACCTTAATGACCTCAATTTTTTTTATGAGTTCTTATCCTTCCTGTGTTATATTTCCTGTCTAACTTCAGATCAATCCGAGAAAATCAGTAAACATCAGTTACGGTAATGCCAGAGACAAAACCATTTATGTGCTCCTAAAAGAAAATTCATTCTTTTATTATTTATCAAATGGAAAACCTCTAAAAGCCTGGGTGGGGAAGATTTATCCTGCACACAAAATTAGGGAGTGGTCACAATGAAAGAGCCCTGATCCCTGCCACAAGAGTGGGCTGCTGTAATTTGACACGTGCAGATCCACGGTGACCCCCTCGTCTGTCTGACGCGGGCCATTATGCTGTCACAGAGCTGCACTCCAGCTAATGGAGAGGCGATATTAATGATCAGACCTCATAATAAATGGCACTCTGCTTTCTGACCATGATTGGAGTTTGGAGGAAAGGACATAAATCGATAACAATTTGACATGACGTTCATTCAGGTTGTATCTCAGCTGAGCATTTCAAAGACACCCATAGAAAGAGTAACCTGGTATTTTCAGATGCAGGTCAGGGACTGCACTAATATCTTGAACACATCTATCTGAATCATCCTAATTTTCAAAGAAAGTATTTATTTTTCAGGTTAATACGTTCTAACAAAGACGTTTTAACAAATTACAACATCTTTTTTTTTTTTTACAACATTACAAAAGACCCATAAACTGCATGAACCCATGCTATTATAAGCTCTTTTAAGACTAAAAAATGACAAACTAAATTGTCTTTAAGAAAACACAAGATCATCTTTCGGACCACCAACCAAATCCGCCCAGGGCACATGACATTTCCATAACATTTGCTATGGTGTGGACAGTTGGTGCATGTTTGGGTGACACTAGCAAAGGTCAACCAAACAATCAGATGGACACAGCTATTCACGTAATGTTGAGATCTGTTTTGAGGAACAGAAATTTAAACTAAGCAACTAAGCATTTGTGCTATATGCTATTAATGGAGGACAAGAACAATACGCTCAACCTAAAAGCCACAAGGGTTGGGACTGAAAAAAAAAAACATGCCCCACGGAAATGACTGAATGACTCTTTATTTCAGTCCTAAAAAAGGGAGACACAGGTCCCGTAGAGGACTTCTAAGTAGTACAGAAGTCTATTGCTATAAATAGTGACTGTATGTCAAAGACCTGGTCTCAGAGAGGGAAAAATTGGCAACAGACGAGGACAGCTCAAACTGGGACATTGTAGGGCCAAAAAGTGACAGGCAGGTCTTCGTCTAGGTTAAAAAAAGCTTGAATCAGAGTTTACTGGGGTGTAGAACTGAAACAAAGGACTGAGCCCTAAATTCAATCCATGAATTTGTATTTGTATATTGATTCTCTGCGTAACATGTTGTCTCACTGGGACTTTTCTTTTTTTGCTTTATTTAATGGATGTCTCTCTTTGTTTTCAGTGTCAAAGTCTCGGTGTCTGTAATGCGGCCTCACCTCAGCTTCCCTAAAGCTGAGAGCTTTGCACAAGGGAAAATGCATCCAGAACAAACAACGTGCAGAGTGAATTTTCAATCAACAGAGAGGGTGAGAGAGTAATTTAGTAGCCTTGCAATGCTTACCCAGATCATGTAAGGGCAGAGGGGTTTATTGCTTGAGATGGTAATCCATTTTGCTCAGGTGAGAAAACAGTGATTTGCCATTGGTTGGTTGGTTTATTATTTTAGCAGCTGTTGGAATTTATACTAGATGTATTAGCAGACACAGACAGATCTGGCAACCAAAATAATGAGGTGGTTAGATATCTCTAATTCTGTAATTAGATTCTGTATGATCTGTAATTATACACGATTTCTTTCTTCTTCCCTGCAAATTGTTTCCTTTGCAAACCATAGAGTTACATTTAACATCCAATATGACCGAACATGCCAGATCCAGGTTTGTAAATTATTTCCATAAGAAAAGGTAAACCAGTGGGACAAAAACCACACTTGCGCATAAACAATGGTCTACATGGACATGTCTATGAGAAACCAGTTATTTAAAATGTCTGTCTTTACAGGCCTATGTATTATTTGTGTGGAAAACAATCAAATTAAGTTGTGTGTGCCTTGTAGGCACACACATTTTGACTTGTAGTGTATCTGTGGAATGTTTATTTTTGCTCTGGAAATATAAACCCATGTGTATCATGCAAATAAATTATTCTCTAGGAGAGAAAGAGCTAGTTTCAACGCAGGACACCAAAACAAATTTCCCCATAAAACCGGAAAGTGCATTTTTCATAGTAGGCTATGCATTCGAAATAGCATACTTCCCTACTCATATAACTTATAGGCCCTAGCTCAGCTGCATCCGAAATCGCAAACGTCCCAACTACATTGACATGTGTGACAAAAGAAGTAGGCCTAGCCTATGTCCAAATTCAAAGTACTCATTAAAGAGCATGCAAAAAGTACCCAGATGACCGACTACTTCCGGCGAGATTCTGAAATGATGGACATTTGCTATCCATGAGGCCACGGAAAAGGATTTGCGAATGACCGTGTAAGCGACGTAACATGGTAATGACAACATGTCGAATTTTATTATTTATTGTTATTTTTATTTATTTTTTGCTGTCGTGAAGTAATGACTTATTCAAAATAAGTACCTACTCAAGAGAGTATGCGATTTCAGACGCGGCCCCAATTTCATGTCCACGACAACCACCTAGTGGAAAAGCAATTTACAAACGCGTTTTGTCTAGCAATTTTTGACTTTATTGCTTGCCGTACTGAAAGCGTCCATAGCAGCCAGCGATCTGTTGACAACGGGAATCCATTAATTTACAGCTAACCTGATATTTCAATGCAGCGAGGGTCGTTTGGTGTGATTTAAATGTTTTCCAGGGTGTTAATGGTGTAAAAATGACCTCAAACAATCCAGCTGTTTTTCTTCTCATGATCAACGGGCAAATCGAAGCAGCTGATGTAAGTTAACAGTGATTTATAGAGGCCGAGTTTGATGCAGTAAACTGTGTGAGAAGCCTGTCGTTAACGTGGGTTAATTTGATTAATTACATGTCGTGTTTTGTCTAAAGTTCCCAGAATATGATGATCTGTACTGCAAGTATTGTTTTGTTTATGGACACGACTGGGCGCCCACATCAGTGAGTGACATCAACCTGCTTTAACTTACTTCATTTTGTCTTACAGTAACGGAAATCAGGGCTATAACCTTTATATATTAACATGTAATATATTCATCATTTAATATGTAACTTGAATAATAATAATAATAATAATATGTCATATATTACTAAGTAATTGTCATCTTTATAAAGTAGTGATTGTTTAACGGTTTTAGTCGCCACTACTCTTTCTTTAGTGACGTGATATATAAGCTTTTGTATTATTTTCATATTCAACAGTAAGATTGTCTTTTCCCAGGGCTTGGAAGAGGGCATTTCTCAAATAACATCAAAAGGTAGAGGATCTCAGAGTTTGGTGTGGAATTTCCCATTGGACATCACATTCAAAAGCACGAACCCATTTGGCTGTAAGTGCACCTTGTTTTGGTTGAATCAGAATAATATGCTTGCATTGTATAGAGAGTAATATTAGTCTTAAGATCGGCACAAAATCTGCTATATCTATGTCATATATTGTAATGCAGCTTAATTGTGATCACTATATGCATTGAAATATCAGGTTAGCTGTAATATATATATATATATATCCGTTCATCTTTTCACATTTTCTTTTTCTCCAGGGCCCCAGATTGTAGTTAGTGTATATGGCCCTGACACCTTTGGAAATGATATTGTGAGAGGTTATGGAGCCGTGCACATCCCGTTTACACCTGGAAAGTGAGTCACTCTGAGATTGTGGTGTCATAATGTGACAAAAGCAGCCAACATGCTTGAGATGTGTCTGAAATGTACGATTACATGTGAATGCTCTCTGTTCCAGACATACCAAGACCATTCCTATGTTTGTTCCGGAGTCTACGTCAAGACTGCAGAAGTTCACAAGGTTAGAACTCAATTCTCACATGCTCAGTGTTTTTCACGCATTTAAATGCAGACATATGGCAACATTTTAAAATTACCCAATTTATTATGCACCAGCTTAGGGTTTGTGATCTGAATTTAATTTCTTGTTGCCGTTCTCTTTTGTCCTCAAGAATTGATATGAACTCAAGTTGTTTTAGTTAAATGTGCAACTTGAATGAGAGTTTCAAATGAGCAAGTACATTGTAATTTGAAAACATTGATTTGCATGAATGGCCCTGTATCTAACATGTTTTATCTTGTACTCAGCTGGCTGATGGGAAGGCGTCCAGAATTCACAGATCCCAAGGTTGTTGCTCAAGGAGAGGGAAGAGAAGGTAAACTTTCATTTAACCTTTGACTTAAAATGAAACCTTGCAGTAGACGTTGACCATCTCTCATCATATTGAGTCTTCAAAAATTGTTCTTCTGCAAACAAGTGTAATTATGAGCCATAACTGATGCCGATTTATCTATTTGCAGTCACAAGGGTGCGCTCACAAGGTTGTGTCACGCTACAGTTCAACATTGTGACTAAGGACATGAAGAAGCTGGGTTATGACACGACATCAATAGAGCATTCACCTGCAAGAACACCACAACAGCTTTGATAACCTTAAGGATCTTTTTTGTATCTTAGTTGCTTTATTCAGTTAGTTTTTGTAGCTGCTTTATAACTACACGTTATATTGTTTAATCAGCTTTGTATGTTTTAAAATAAACTGATCTTGTTTTGCTGGTCTAGAAGAGTCAACCATTTCTGACTGAAATAACCAGTAGCACCTCATTGCAGTACACAAGATCCAGGGGGCGGAGTTGGATCCAGATCTAAGGGATGGAGATGGGTAGGATTAGGGATCAGGGGGCGTAGATGGGTAGGTTTAGGTATGTAAGGTTGGATTTCGTGTTCTGCAGTGAGGACCATCTCGAAATGGGTCCATTATACTTAATCCTTAACATTATAACCTCAACGTTTGTCTGCATTTTATGGAGAACAGCTTCCTAGAGAGAGTAGCCTACAATATGCAGGCTATATGCACAAAAGCTTCTTAAAGACATAACCATTCCCATTTTGTAGGGACAATCTGTTGTTTATGGATCACAACTTGTATGTCTTATTATTTGTAGTTGTGTTTTCTATTAACAGTTCCATTTATAAGCTTTATGTAGTTGCTATGATGTAAATGAGAGGCAAAGCTTTGCCTCCGCTAGCCTGCTAACTGACATTACAGTATTGATGTAGTGTTTACTTTAGCTTTTGTTCATCACCCCCTAGGAAAATTACCATGATTTTGTGATTGATTACTGTTTGTATTACCATAGTTTTCCGACAAATGATTAAATGGTGGATAACATATCCATAAGAAATACAAAAAAAAAAAAAACATACCACTTTGAAACGTTCTGTGAACGCCGTGCTTGAAATCTGTTCATGACGATTCTCGTTCATTAACATTGTCAGAGTCTGAATCGGATTCGAATTGGTTTGAAATTGACACCATCCTTATTCAACTTTACAGTAGAGAAGAACACACGGTTATGAAGGGGCGGGGCCAGCTAACCACACTGGGCCAGTAACCAATAACACCGCACACTTCGTATTTTGGAAGGAGGGACTTAATCGAAACGATGCGTTCAACCAGACTGGAGAGAGGAGCTGTAATAATATAAAATATGTGAAAAATAATGCGTTTTTTTTAACAAGCAAGCATGAAAACATTCTAGTTCAAAAACAAAATTAATACTTCAAAAAAGGGCATAATATGACCCCTTTACCTTTAATATTTTTGTTACTTGAAAAACAATAAACATAATTTAAACAAACATTAAAATAAACTTATTTCAGTTAGTCCTCATTTTGATTTGCTAAATTGATGTACTAAAATAAATAAAACGGAAAAACTTTTAAATAAGTAATATACTAGTTCAAAATACAAAAGTAAAATGTTTTAAAAAAAATGTTTACTAACAGCATGAAGAGACAGATCAAAAGTCATTGATACGATTTATTTGTTTTACCACTGCAGCTACAGGTCCTTTATCACTTGCTGTGGTTTAGATGGCAATAAAACAATCACTCTTCCTGTGACTTTCCTACAAAACCATTACACAGAAATAAGGTACACAACAATATGTTACAATAGAACAGATGATAAATTATATTATACAGTTATAATGCCAACAAGTTGAGCACATATCCATAAAAAGCAGCCTGCTCCCAGTAATATGAGACAGTTTGGTAAATACACAGACACAACAACATGGAAAAGTAAAATGTTATGCATGTTCACAAGGTTAGTCCTCCACAATAAATGCATAATGAGTACATAACAGAAGAACGAGTGATACACGGTAACAGCAAACCAAGATGGCCGAGACTAAATGAGCAAGATATCGTATATGGATTCATAAGTCAAACTAGTCTGCATAATCGAGTACAGTGATGTTCACTAGCAGGGAGTCTTGTTTAGCAGGATTAGAGCCTGATTAAACCATCATGTCCATCAAAAGCGCATTACATACAACTTAAAGCTCTCTTAGCCACAACCACCCCCTAAAATGCCTGAGTATGCCTGCAGATTATTTACCATAACACACCCAGGGCTCTGCTACAAGGCTGCAGATGGCCAGTACTACCACAATATTTCCAGCAGAGGTCGCTAGCTCACAGATGAGAGAAACCGTAGAGTCCATACTCTAGTAATCAAGAAAACAAAAGCAGTAATATTGATGATAATAATATGGGAACAATTGAAGATCGATAAATGTGTAGTCAGTTCAGCTCTGCATTTAAAAAGGACAAGCAATGTCACTTTGGTAACTACTATTCGGTGGCAGATGTTGCCGTCTTGTGCTTAACTGGTTGAATTAAAAAGTGTAGACATAGCAAGCCACACGACACACCTAAGTCTAGGCGTTCTTGCTTTAAATCGACCACTAATTGTGATATCAAACGATTCAAAGTCTAGTTTCAGTCTCATGTAATGACAAAACCGTGGGCAAAATAAACTCATTATATGAATACAGAACAATGCAATTGAACCACAGGGCTCTAGCTGCAGAAAGATGCATATGACCCCTAACATACATTTACACCACATATTGAACAACAAAAACAACCCTAGAAAACAGATCATACAATCCATTACGGGACCCCTCCCACACTATGAGCTGTCTTAGCATCTCCGCTCATTCACGTAACAATAAGGAAGTTCGCTTTCCATACAGAACAGAGGATTTTGTTAACAACAAGCTTTGATATACTTTTCTCCAACGGAAGCAGTGATTAGTGATACAGCTGTTGGTTATAACAGTAAGATGCATTAGGACCTGATGTAGATAAACAAACACAAAATTACCTCCTGTTTCCCTTTTCTCCATCCACACGCGCACACATAAATAAAAACGTCACTGAAATGATCACATTTCAGGTTGTTGGATACTCACAGAGAAGCTAAGCAGATACATTTAAATCATTAGTATCGATTAGCTGTGGAAATATGGAGCTGTGCAAATAGTGAGTCGTACTGAATTGAAAGAACCCATTCACCCAATAAACAATGTCTTGGGATTGTAAAGCAGTAAAAAACAGGCTTCGGTATAAAAGTTGAGCCGTATTATGATATGCAAACCAACTCCGTGTCATGCATTAAAAAAAGAAAAGGAAAAAAGAACAACTCTCCACTTCAGTATGAAGTTCATCTTTCAATGCATCAGGTTTCAAACCATTCACACATGCAGTTCACAGACTCTCTCTCCTATTCCTCAGATTTGCTCGTGTCTTAGTGAACGGTTTCCCATCGCTTCTCGCGCTAAGGGCTAACGGTGGGCAAACAGTCAAAGGAAGATAGATCAGAGCATGTGCAAAATCCCTGCTTGGAACATCAAAATCATTTCCATGTAAACTGATAGAGAGTCCTCTAAACTGTCTACTTAAGCGTACTGTAAATACACATAGTGTATATGCACTGCGTAGAAAGTACAGGCTGCTTGGATTAAAAGGGTTAGAGCTTTATCTAGCACGCTGCTCGAAAGATTAGAAATTAGAAAAATTAAGACAAACCAGTACTCCTAGTTTTAAGCCTCTGAATAAGAAAAGTAAGCCATCAATAAGAAGTTAAAAACAGGACCCCTTTGAACGGGAGAGGAAAATCTCCTAGACTCTGTATCGCTGATGGTGTCTTTCGAGGAAATTTAGAAAAGAATACCAAATCGCTGTATGGTACCAATCTCTGACAGGAGAGGAAGGGAATCACCTGCCAGTGTAAAACCTGTAAACACCACTGCTACTCCCAAAAGTCTCAAAATAGCACACCGGTTTTGGGGGAACACGACCGACTATGTTGTCTACACCATAGAAACGGGGATGGGAGAGAGATTTCAGTGGGTTTCGGGGAGGCAGCCTATGTTGTTCCTCACAATAAGAAGGGGTTGGTTGTGCCGCCGGCTTGTGTTGCTGCGACTGTGGGCGGCAGCCCTCCGCTCATGAGTGGCTGGGGCATGGACATGGATGCTGGGATCCCCATGCTTGGCATCATCTGGCCCACAGGCCCAAGAGGAGCCATGCCGGTCATGGGTACCATGGAGACGGAGCCGGCTGGGGGCAATGAGGAGAGAGGCAAGGGCTCGTTGCTCCTCTGGGCAATGCTGTTGAAGCCCTGCCCACTCAGGCCCATCATGGGACTGACTCTCATCTGGTTGAGGGTGGGCGGCTGTGGCTGGTTCACCTGGAAGGGGTTGACTTGAGCTGCAGTTGCAGGCGCAGGAGCCGAAGCTGCTCCTGAGGCTGAAACTAAACCAGTGGGAGATACAGGTGAGCTCGTTGCTAAACAAGGGCTTTTAAAATGCAAATTTAAGGCTCAAGAACTGCACAAATAAAATGTCTATTTAGAACAAATCGATACGGTCTCAAAATAAATAAATTGATGCATATCAAAAACCTTTACTTCTTTAAACAGGCTGCTCAACAAGGACTTTATACTTCTTTATACTACTAGCAAAACATAGTTTTTAAAAGCAATTTTAAAATATGCAAGTCATGTTTTATCCAATATGTAATGAATTTGGTTTATGTCCCAATAAATTAGGGATGCACGATATATCGACCACATATCGATATCGGCCGATAAATGGTCTTTTTTGATGTTATCGTTATCGGTCCGAAAAGAAAATTGGGCCGATATGTCAAAGCCGATAAATAATAGATTATTTACTTCAGTTGAGAGATGCGCGCGGTTCGCCATGATGGTTCTGAATGATTGGAATCACTTCGAAAAGGAAGATACAGTTCAGTGCAACATGTGCAGCACAAATCTGTCACATAGGCTTCATAACATTATAATAAAAACACGCAAAAGAATGTTGTGAATTCTTGTTCGCCAGTGTTTCAGCGCGTCGAGCGCGTTGTGGAAAGAGCGCGTCTGTGGAGTTAAGCCTTCATGGCAAGCACAGTCAAGTTCTCTTGAGCATTCGCAGCATTCTGTGCCATTGTAAGTTGTAATATGTTTATTTTGTGTGTATATATATATATATATATATATATATATATATATATATATATATATTTCTGATTAATCTAATATAGGATGCGTTTGGTTGAGTTAATTAACGATGCATAGCGCTTCATTGTAGACCTACCGGTGATCATCTTTATCTTTAGCGTGCGCAGCTCAAACAGCAATGCACATTTATAACTACATTATAGGACTGTCATATACATGCCATTATAATGAGA